TCGGTTTGAAAGACTTGGCAGCTTCGACCGCCTTCCTGGCTTGGGCTACCAGCACCGAGCCCTCGCCCTCGTCTTCTTCCTCATTGTCAAACTAGTGGACTGAGTCTATGTTCATGTGAATGACATTCCTCCTATGTCTCCGAGTAGGAGCCCTTTTATCTTGGGGGTCTTCGGGCTTCGAAACCATTTTCCTCTTATTATCTTTCCCAGATTTTGGAATCGGGGACTCGATCTCTTTCCCAGAAGGGGTCGGCCTCATTTCGGAGAAATCTCTAATGCTTGCATAAATAAAAATTAGGTATGAGAAAAGAAATGTCTCCGATAAAGAGGAAAGCGTCAAAAACTAACAAGAAGAACTTACCGTGGTGCTTGGCTTCCCATCTGCCCCTCGCCAAATCACGCCAACGGCGTTCGTCATATGAGGAGGTCGATGCTAGTTTTCGGACCCAGTCTTCGAGTTCGAGGACCACATGAGGCATCCAAGTGACTGCTGCAAAAAAAGTTGAACGCATCATGCAATGCAAAAACATAATACAGAAAATTACTGGGGAAACAACTTCACTTACGGTCGGGGATTCACTCTTATGGGAACGACATTTTCTCCTCAAGGATGATATCACGGGTCCTCACTCGAATGAACCGGCTCATCCAGCCCAGATCTTTATCCTCGACGTTGCTAGCAAAGAAGGACTTGGTCGACTAGAGTTGGAGCTTGATCAACCCTCAAAAAAGCTGAGGCTAGTACAATCGGATAAAATTACTGAGGGTGAACTCGAGCCCCTCGGCCTTGCCGGAGAAATAGCGAAACATGATCACTATGCGCCAGAAAAAGGGGTGGATCTGGCCGAGGGAGACTTGATATCTTTTGCAGAAGTCGATCACGATTGGATCGAGGGGACCCAGTGTGAAGGGGTATGTGTAAACACTTAGGAACCCCTCCACATGAGTGGTGATACTCTCCTCGGGGGTGGGGATCTGTACCACAACCTCATCCCCCCAGCCACATTCCTTTTTCATGGCCTCGAGGTGCTTCTCCGTTATCGAACAGATATACCTCGACGCATGCTCACATCGGCCAGGAACGACGGGGGGATTTTCAACTTTGAAGTCTTTATTTATGATGCAGGCGTCGGGAACGATCTCGTGAAAGGCTGGCGCTTTGTCACCAGCCGGACGTGAAGAAGAGGCGGAAGTTTATTCCTTTTGGGGAATAGTTTTGGAAGTTTTTGCGATTGATTTAGGTTAAAGGAAGCGGAAAGAGATGGAGTTTGATATTTTTTTTACACTAAAGGGGCGGAGCAGCAAGTAACAAAGGAGAGAGATGAAGAGAAGGAGAGATCAGAGAAATAGCAAGATGGAAGTAAAGTCCTTAATTCAAATAAGGAGCCTTGTATTTATAGGTAAGCGATGACGGTTCAGCGGGCGCTAGTGGCAGACCACTACTCGCACGCATTTAATGTTTTGGGGAAGCAAACCGACGGGGCATTTTGATCACCTCGAGCGCTTACATCACGGGAATGACATCATCATTAGGGGATCCGAAAAATCGAAGCTCAAATCGTTTCTTATCATCTTATTCTAAGATACACGGGTACTATCTATATACGGTCAAAATCAGGCATGCCCGATTAGGTGGGCTCGAGGAATCGCTTCAAGAATAAGTCCGAAATAGACTGGGCTCGAGCTCGATACCGGAGTTCGAGGCTTGAAGATCGAAGTGCTCGATGGACATCGAGGCCGAATATAACCAGCCTCGAGATAATACCGTTATGATTTTGTAACATAAAAGGCAAGATTCCCGTAACAGCCCTAAGATCAAGGCGTAAATTCCGTAATGAATTTGTACGGATTTGTACTAGGTGGTTAGACAGCTGTCCCAATAAGATTCCCTACTAAAAATAGAAATGTACCTTGTTAAGGACTCCTTTATTATATAAAGGGGGGCCCATTCAGTTGTAACATCATCAATCATTGGAAAAGGAATATACATTCTTCACTTTCTTGCTTATCACTCATCAGAATTGGTTTTCAGCTTTATTATTCTTACTGACCTACCTCGAGGCCAGCTTAGCTCGAGGTCGAGACTGGCTTGCACACTGGTTTGATTCAACTTATTTCTTTAATTTATACATTTGATTCCTTGATTATCAGTTGTTATTGGACTAAATTACATATCTTTAAGACCTCAATACAAATTTAATTGCTACTCAGATTTTAGGGTAAACAATATTACTAGAAAATGCTATCTTGTTTACTTGTGCAACATATAGTTTTTCTTCGACTAAAACGGCCCAAAGATATTCTTAACATTGTGTGATATAGTCCGCTTTGGGTCAAGCCCGCACGATTTTTCCCACAAGGCATTACACCATTAAACGATTCCTACACCTTATCTGTAGGCTCCTAATCTTTTCAGCTACCAATATGCGGTTTTGTTCGCACACCCAACAGTTTGGTGGCATTATATTCTTAACAAACACTGATTTTTTGTTTGTCCTTTTAGCGTTTAGGGTGCTAAGACGTTCGATTGATTCGTTCCTCATGGTATCTTTTTATTTTTTTAGTTTTATACTTATATTAGTGTCTGGACCTTTTTGTTCTAAAGTTCTTCAGCGATTTTCTATTCGTTTTTCTTTAATCTTAATTTATTTTCCATAACTTATTTATCATCATGTTGTCTTATTTTATAACTTGGCCTAAACCTCATGCTGCAGTAGATAAAATGTCTTTCTTACGCCCTAACATTTTGAAACGAACTAACTCTCAATTTCGTATAACGTTTAAAGTTAGGATACTCAGTATTGAACTTCGAAAAATTAAAAGAAAAATGAATTTCCCTTGTAAGGTGGGTATTGAAGAAAAAAAAAAGTTGCTCTTAAATTACAGATTAGGAGCAAAGAAACTTTTACCAGAAAGGGGTCATTAATTAAAGTGTACGAAAAAGAAGTCACCATTGCGGGTGTATAAAATAAAGAATTTAATAATCAAAAGGTTAACGTTGATGCGTATTTGATATTTTGATTACTGTTTATAATTAGAATTTGTCCATTATAGGTTGAAATTAAATTTGTACCTCAAGGTGATAATTAGCATCTCAAATCTCCCATTTACTTTCAACTAATTTATTAGACTTTCTTTGAATATAGAATTTTGAAACGACTATTAGAACCTCAATTTGAACATTTTGTAATATCAGTGAAATCTGAAGGATGTTATCGAAAACTTGGAACTTACCTTTTTCTCTTGAAATTGGATATACTTCTTGTAAGAAGAAAAAAACCACATATTAAGATATGAAAATCTATTTGAAAGTTGCTTAAGTGGATCAACTTTAGGGTTCAATTCCTATCCGTTGGCAATCACCATAGTGTACTTTAAATTCACAAGTACAAATACTCGTAATAATGCATGCAGACGATTCCCTTTTCCAAAAAATATCCAATTCGGATTAGCTCGTTTTGATCATAGTGGAGTTTCGAGTAGTACTACACTTCTAATTTAAAAAGTGGCAAAACAACTAAGAAGATCACATAGCTAAATGGTGACAACTTGTTCTATGATTCATTGAAGATATAGATTTTCAAGAAGAAGGGAAACTCAAATTAGACTTGGAAAAAGCGAACATTACTATATACAAATAGATACAAGATAAAAAGTTGATGATGTTTGATTAAGATGAAAAAAGGTAAATTTTTGGCTTCATCATATACTACTATAACATTATACAAACTATTTTTTTTTTTTTTTTTTGGTAGAAGTGTAACTATATTATTTTGATCTACTAGTACTATTCTTCTTCCTGAATGGTAGTGAATATGCATATTTTATTATAGAATTATTAGGTCTCACACCTAATCTTTCTTCCAAGTAAGTATACCTAAGTCTCATGTAAAAGTGAAAAGCGTCAAGGAATGACTAAAAAGCCACTTGTGTTGTACCATTCGGGACCTCGTGCAGTCATGCACACACTTGTTTATGCTCTTTCTTCTCCATCATCAATCATTCAAACACCCAAGATACTTTTAACTTTTATCTCTTTCTTAACTACATTTAAATGTGAATTTAATATGACTATCTTTTTGTTCTATTTTAATGTCCTTATGCAATTAATACTAAGAAAATATTTCTTTCCAAAAGAGAAAAAGAAAAGAAACAATATTGTTGCATAAGAAATGTTGGTCGAATAATTGAGGTCACACTTTAATATTATATGCAAGTAATATGTTTTAGAATTTTCCAATTATTAGTAACTAAAAAAAGAAAGACGTACAACTTTGACCAGTTGGTCGACAATATAAATTTCCATCTTGTTGGTGAGGTTTCAATTTCTAACCTTGTAATCCTCTCATGTATCTAAGTGCACACACATTTTGTTGAACATGCATGGTGGCTGCACATTTACAATTTTGGTAATAAAAAAATATAATTTAAGAGGAAAATATTGATCCTAAGAAAAGTAAGATTGAGCGTCCTATTTGTGTTTGTACAATAATACACGTTGAAGTTCCTGTTGTAAAATCTAAGTATTCCATTGAGGCGGCTTATATATAATAGGTAAATTCAATTTAGAAAAGAGAAAATATTAATGCAGTGTAGTCTCAATCTTAAATTGAATCACTTTTCACCTAGAGTTAAAAAGTGAATATACGAGGGTTCACTAGTTATGCTTTGATCTTTGTTAAAATAATTTTTGGTAAAGATCCCAACCAAATATGTAGATAAATCTTGTGAAATAATAAAGCAATTATTGAGCGGCAAAATGGTAAAAGTAGACCCCATTTTACTTTTTGCATAATTGAATATAAAATTCAAGAAACAAAACAATTTAATGATTGTGGAAATAAAAGCGGACAATTATTTTTCCACAAACTAAAAAGCAAAAGCACACATTGATCAAGTGCATGCAGTCACCATAGTTTAGTAATCTTTAGAAAATGAATATTCTTAACTCAATTTTAGTTTTGTTTCCTTTAATCTTGCACTATATATGGCATAAACTTCAGTTGATGGTAGATCATCTTGACTTTATATATATCCAAGAAAATTTAGGTCACTTTCACATATGTAGCTATCATCTTCACCTTTCTCTTCTTCTATGACAACTACATGTGGCTCATACACAGAACTCTAGAATTCCCTACTCCTTTTTATTGTTAAATTTCCTTTGCTTAACAAGCTTGGTTTTCTTCCTTGGGGTGTAAAGTTGTAAGCTTTTGAACAACTCCTTTTTCTTTTTTTCACTGTTTTCATTTCATAATATGCTTTCTTGCCTCCTCTGTTTTGGTATCTTTTTTAGCTTCTTCTTCAAATGATCTTTTCCAATTCAGAAATTGAACTCCTCTTTTACAACCCTTTTTCTTTTCCTTGTCAAGCACAGTATGAATTCTTGAATTCCAAATCTCCTGAGGCTCTCTTGAACTAGTTGGGGTTTGTAAATTTCTCTTCTTTTCTTGTTATTGGTAAGTTTTCAGCCTCTTGAATTCCAGTTCTTGGAGACCCTTTTGGATTCGGATCATGGTTTTTTTGGAATGAAATAAGTATTGGTTTTGGTTCATTTCTTGTTTCGATCATGGGAATTATAGGGATGAAAGATGGTATTTGGATATGTATGATTTTGGGGTTTATGGTATTAGGAAAAGTGTATGGAATTGGAGCAAACTGGGGAACACAAGCAACACATCCATTGCCACCAAACATAGTAGTGAAGCTGCTCAAGGACAATGGAATTCAGAAAGTGAAGCTGTTTGATGCAGATTCAGATATCTTTAAAGCACTCAGTGGGTCTGGAATTGAAGTCATGGTTGGTATCCCAAATGAAATGCTTTATAGTTTAGCTAACAGTTTGGGTGCTGCTGAGAAATGGGTTGAGAAGAATATCTCTTCATTTGTCTCTTCCAACAGTGTTGATATCAAGTGAGTTTCTTCTTATTATTCTTGGGCTTTTTAGTTATTTTTACTCATGGTACAAAATATATTTACACAATAATTATATGATAAGCTTTAATTATTAATGTGGTAAAAATTATAACTAATCTTATCACACTCTATCAGTGTAAATAAGTTAACTCCTCAACCTTGACTAAAAGATTATTATTGTAATTTGGAAGTTGGATTAGTTAGATTTTGCAATTTGTCTGAAATTGACAAGAATTTAGTACGTAGGTAACTTTCTCAAACAGGCAAATAAGGTAGGTAGTTGTCACTTTTCTGATAGATTTGATAAGTAAATTTATACTATATCTTTACCGATTTGTTCTTTTCTAGTTACACTTATAGTTAAATTATTCGTTTGAGACTTGTAGATATCGACTTAATTGCTTTAAAAGAATTGCATTTGGCTTATATACTTTTTCTTGATTTTCAACTTTTTTGTACAGTAGTATTATTTACGATTAGTTAACTCTACATAAAGGGAATCCTGGGAGAGCCGCTGACTCCAATTATTGTTCATGTATTGATCTATACTAGATCGGACCAACTGGCTTTCACACCTCGTCTACATTCTTAACAGAGCCGTCTTAGCTTCTCATTTGTCAATGTCAAGCATACTTGATCCGAGTATGATAATATTTACTAAATCTGACTGCCATGTTGAAAGAAGTATACAAACAGAGAGACCTCTAAGCAACTTTGACTTTTCCTTTGAGAGATTTCAACCTAGCTTGTTTAATTTTGGTAGAATTACGCGGGACAGTTTGTATCTAGTCTATCTAATGCTAATTGTAGCCAAACTACGAAGAGGTTCGCTCAAACACTAGTCTCCTGATATACCAATACCTGAGCTTTTTCCCTTCAGTTTTGCTAAATAAGGTTATTTCTGTCCAGATATGTTGCAGTTGGAAATGAACCATTTCTATCTCAGTTTAATGGAACATTTCTGTCAACAACATTCCCAGCTCTTCAAAACATCCAGGCAGCCCTGATAAAAGCCGGTCTTGGCAATCGGGTGAAAGTAACTATTCCTCTCAATGCTGATGTATACGAGAGTTCAAGTGAAAAACCTTCAACAGGTGACTTCAGGCAAGATATTCGTGATCTCATGGTGAACATTGTCAAGTTCTTGAATGACAATGGTGGTGCATTTACTGTCAATATCTATCCTTTTATAAGTCTCTACAATGATCCCAACTTTCCTGCTGACTATGCTTTCTTCGACGGATACTCAAATGCCATCGATGACAATGGGAAAATTTACAACAACGTTTTCGACGCAAACCACGATACCCTGCTTTGGGCCTTGCAGAAAAATGGATACCCAAATATGTCAATCATAATAGGGGAAATCGGATGGCCAACAGATGGAGACAATAATGCAAACTTAAAGGCTGCCCAGAGATTCAACCAAGGATTCATGACTCACATTTCAGGTGGAAAGGGGACTCCAATGAGACCTGGCCCTATAGATGCTTACCTGTTCAGCCTGATCGACGAGGACGCGAAAAGCATCCAGCCTGGTAACTTTGAACGCCATTGGGGAATATTTTACTTCGATGGTACGCCTAAATACAATCTTTCCCTGGGTGCAAACAATGGAGGTTTAGTACCAGCAAATGGTGTTCGATACCTGGCTCGCCAGTGGTGCGTGCTGTCACCCTCGGCTAGTCTTGATGATCCACAGCTAGCTGATAGTGTGGGCTATGCATGTTCACATGCTGATTGCACCAGCCTCGGGCATGGGATATCATGTGCGGATCTGGATACTCGTGGTAACATTTCATATGCATTCAACAGTTACTATCAGGAAAATGACCAGCTAGCTACTGCCTGCAAGTTTCCGAACCTTTCCATGGTCACAAACACAGATCCATCACCACCGGGTGGAACCTGTAAATTCAAAATAATGATCCAAGCGAGTAGTCCTAAAAGCCATAAGAGTAATGCGTTTACTTCTAAGCCTGTCAATGTGATGCTTTTGGTTATGGTTTCTTTGTTGAGTGTTTTGTAGAATTTCTTGAGTTATTTATATATTCCTGTCAGTTTGTGTTGAAATTGCCATCATATATTTGTTCTTAAACCTACTTAAACTTGGGGTTAATTTCACCGATGGTCATTCAACTATCTTTCAATTTCGCTAAAGTCACTCAACTATTTTTTATCTTTATCATTGTCACTTAAAAGTCATTTTGACTCAAACTCTTACCATAAATATGACATGGCATAAAATTTAATTAAAAAATCTAAAAATAAATGCCACATAAGCTTAAATGAACCATATCCACTTTAGATCTATTTCCCCCATAATATGATTTGACCCATTACCCAAATGGGTTTCAATAGGGGAAAAACCGCACACCCCTAATAAAATTAAGTCTGTAACAATCTCTCAGAGGAAACCGCGGCTTTCACAAAGTGTAAACCTGTTGATTTCCTTAGCAGACAGGTTTTTAACATTTTCATAATGCAAAACGATATATCCTACTAAGTACTAATCCTAATGTGAAGATGGAATGATAAAAGTAGTTGTATGAGTGTTTTCTTGACTAAAAATCTAATGCTTCTTTCCCTTTTCATCTTCTTTCTCCCTCGTACTTGAAGCACTTGTAATTCGGTCTGAGCATTACATAGCATAACAGTAATTCATAATTACGAAGTACAAGACATAAGGAAATTAAACTTCTTATGGTCAACATTGGAGACAAATCATGAATTGTCACTCTAACTCTTAAAATACTATTTCGGATGAATGGTGAGTTGCGTCGCTCTTTGATCTGCATTATAGCGCTTAGGAGCTCTCTCTTTTATGGCAGAGATGTCGCCATACCAAGAACATCAAGGGACGTCAAGCCTTTTTTGAAATTGGAATTTTATTGCACCACACTACTTGTTAGCTTTAGATTTTAATTATGACAAATATAAAATAGGTCTAAGAATACACATCAGACTTGCAGATACTCAAATAAAATATCAAGAAGTACTAAAAAATCAGGACGAGCAAAAGGAAAAGGAATAGATTTGCATCTGCGGACCAAAACGAAATAAGGAAGGAAAATCAAATCATACGTGAAAAAATACCTGTCAGCAAGCACAGAAGGAAAGAAATCAATCAAAGCAATTCGAACAAAGAAAGAAGATGTATACTTAGTAAAGGAATCACATATTGGAATCATTTATGGGAAGAAGACAAATCAGGCGGAACCACGGAAGTAAAGAATATTGTATAGGGTCAAATTTGACCGTCAACATCTCTACGCCAATGGGTACGCCCAATGAGTAAACGTCAACTAACGTAAGGGTACGACTTGCGCGTGGGAACAAAAGCGACATCGTTTAAGGCTCAGTGTCTTCACTAGGAAAACGTTACCTATTTTTGTATCTTTTTGATTATTTCGAGGGAGGTCTCCTACTATATAAGGGAGACCTTCACATTGTAAAAGGGGCATTCTGATATAATATAACTCTCTCATTTTCTCTTACTCTCTCTCTATCTCTATCTCTAACGAATACTTTCTCTTGAGTTCATATTATCATTTTACACTATTAGATCTACAACAACAACTTTATTTTTCATCTCTAGGTCTATTATATTTGATTACGATTTACCCTTTCCTACTTTTGATTGTTTTTAAGCTTGCAAAGTACGTCGATAACTTTTGAGCGAAACAATTTGGCGCCGTCTGTGGGGATTTCGAGAATCAAAATCATAGTATCCACCTAGAGAGCAACCAACTACCATTCACTACACCACACGAAAACAAAAGATGGCTAAAAATAACACCAGAATGAAAGCGATAGTGGGTGTTACAGCCAATCTCCTTGATCCTCTCAACGAGGCCGGTGACGAGGGCATTTTGAATGCAATCCCTAGCATCACGCCAGGTGCAGAGATCTCATCTTCCCCATCCGAAGATCTGACGATCTTGAATGAAAAAGGAGCTTCCACATCTGCGGCTAAGGAAGCACCCCTGGTGGTCAAGAAGCTACTAGAAGAATGGCTAACAAGCACTCTGAGTGGCTTGGTTGAGAAGTCACCGCAAAGTAACATCATGTGTATACCAACGTTAGGTACCACTGCTGCCGTGGGTGAACCTGAAGCTGCACGAGCAAATAACAAACCCATCGAGGCACAAACCAACGACGGCACGCTAACAGCCATCCTAAAGAAGATGGAAGAAATGGAGAATGAAAACAAGGCACTCCACGACCAAATGAAAGAACATCAGGAGAGGGTAGACAAGATCCCCGGTGCTCCCAAGTTGCTACCAAAACGCGACGTGGGGAGGTCCGTGGAACAACCATACGCTGAAGAAGCTGCCCCTCACCCTATCCCAAAAACCTTCAAGATGCCACCCTACTTGAGGGTATATGACGGAACCACAGATCCCGAGGATCATTTGATCCACTATGTCACTGTTGTAAAGGGAAACGACCTATCAAAAGAACAGGTACCATCGGTGCTGCTGAAGAAGTTTGGTGAGACGTTGACAGGAGGGGCCCTAACATGGTACTCTCAGCTACCAGCTAAGGCGATATCAACGTTCGAGAAAATGGCGGATAAGTTCATCACCGCCCATGCAGGTGCAAAGAAAGCGGAAGCAAGGGTCAACGACATCTTCGCCGTCAGGCAAACCGCAGGGGAGGGACTTAGGGAATTCCTAGCCAGGTTTAATAGGGTAAGGATGAGTCTAACAAACGTATCGGAAGGTATGGCAGTCGCCGCTTTCCAGAACGGGCTAAACAGGGATGGTTCGAGGGCAACCAAGAAGCTACTAAGCCGCCTCATGAAATATCCCCTACCACATAGGAGGAAATCCACAACGCCTATTGCGCTGAGGTACGAGCAGATGAGGATGATCTTAATGGGCCGACCCAACGGCTAACAACGATACACTCAAAAACAAGGAGGGATCGACGCAATGAAGGACGGCGAGAACAACTCCCACGCTCCAACAAAGACCGACACCAGCCATACACCAGATCCTCCCATTCACCACCAAGGCATACGGACACGCTACAGCGACACGTCGCCCCACTCCGAAACGAAAGAGGTACGCCTCCTTTATTATCCGCCCATAACTTTTGTGTGTCTCCTTCAGAAATAGTGTACGCACTGGAGAAGCTGGGTACCAAAGTGCAGTGGCCGCAGAAGATGAAATCAGACCCTGCCACGAGGAAATCAAACGTCCTATGTGAGTTCCATCAGGAACGGGGACACAAAACCGAAAATTGCATAGGTCTACGGCACGAGGTGGTCAGGATGCTGAACCAGGGATACCTGAGGGAATTACTCAGTGACAAAGGGAAAATCAACTTGGGACGCGGACGGGAACAACCCCGCGGGCCGCCGAAGCCGCCCTCCCCAGCACGCACGATAAACATGATCGTCGGAGGCGGCGACGTCTTAGCGATCAGTTACATCAAGTTCGGCACCACGCACAAACTTATCGCCCATGAACGGTATGACGACTTCGAAGATAGTATCACCTTCGATAAGTCTGATGCCGACGGTTTATCTTTCCCTCATTACGATGCTTTAGTTATCACTTTACGTATCGCTGATACAGATGTTAAAAGAATCATGATTGACGACGGAAGCGGCGCTTGTATTATCCACCCGAGGGTCCTCGTACAAATGGGACTCGTGGATAAGTTAATACCGCGTTGCATAACACTAACTGGTTTTAACAATGCAGTGGTACGGACATCCGAAGAAATATCACTGCCCGTTTTAGCAAGAAGAGTCACGCTGGAAACAACTTTCCACGTGATGAACCAGGAAACATCGTACAACGTCATCATAGGGCGCCCATGGATACACGCCATGCGAGCTATCCCTTCAAGCCTTTACCAAGTGATCAAGTTCCCTACCCCATGGGGAGTATTCAGCATTCGAGGCGAGCCGCGCACCACACAGGAATGCTACCAAATAGCTCAAGATTGCGCCCACACCCAACAGCTAAAGGGGGCGAGCGCGGAGGCATAGCAATTAGCTGTGTCGGGGACTAAGGTCAACCCGACAACGGACGCCATTAGAGACCCCGATGTCGTGGAGGCCTATAAAGCAACGATCGAAGAACTCGACCCAGTCCAATCGGACGACACCGACCTTAAGAAGAAAGCATACATCGGGCACGGCCTGGTCAACCCAAGTAAGTATCGTGAATTCCTAACTAACCATGCTGATTTGTTCGCTTTTTCCCATTAAGATATGCCGGAATCCCGCGAGACATCGCCACCCATAAGCTGAATGTCGATCCATTACAGCCGCCCGTGCGACAGATGAGAAGGAAATTCAACGCCGCTATCAATGAAGCGGTCAGTGAGGAAGTAGACAAGTTACTGGCCAACGGCTCCATCAGGGAATCGAAGTACCCCCAGTGGGTCGCCAATGTCGTCATGGTCAAAAAGAAAAACGGGAAGTGGAGAATGTGTGTAGATTTCACCGATCTGAACAAAGCATGCCTAAAGGATTCATTCCCACTACCCCACATCGACCAATTGATCGACGCCACCGCAGGACATGAACTGCTGAGCTTCTTAGATGGCTACTCCGACTACAATCAAATCATGATGGCCGAGGAGGACCAGGAGAAGACGACTTTCATCACCCACCAAGGGACTTACTGCTACAAGGTAATGCCCTTCGGGCTCAAAAATGCAGGGGCTACATACCAAAGACTGGTCACCAAAATGTTCAAAGAGTAGATTGGTAAGACTATGGAAGTCTATATCGACGATATGCTGGTGAAGTTGACAAGAAAAGAAGACCACATCGACCATCTGAAAGAAGCCTTCGGGATATTGAGAAGGTACGGGATGAAACTGAACCCCGAGAAATGCGCCTTCGACGTGACCTCAGGAAAATTCTTAGGATTTCTCGTATCACAACGAGGCATCGAGGTCAACCCAGATCAGATCAAGGCGATAGACGCAATACCCGAGATGTTGAACAGCAAAAAACAGGTGCAAAAGCTGACGGGGCGAATAGCCGCCCTATCCAGGTTCATCTCACGATCCTCCGACAGGTGCCATAAATTTTTCAATGTGCTGAGAAAGGACAATGGGTTACAGTGGAATGAGGAATGCGTCGAAGCCTTGAGAAAATTGAAAG